AATTAAAATGAAAATTTATTTATTTATTTCATTTGATGCATTTATATGGATTTAATACTTATAAATTAAAATGACTATTTATTTATTTCATTTGATGTGTTTAATGAATTTACTGGTTAAGAATTAAAATGAGAATTATTTATTTCATTTGATGCGTTTAAAGAATTTAATATTTATGAATTAAAATGAAAATTATTTGTTTTATTTGATGCATTTAATGATGATGAATTAAAATGAAAAATATTTACTTTATTTGATGCATTTAATAAATTTAGTGGTTATCAATTCAAAAAACAAAAATTATTTAATCATTTTATTTGATTTATTTATGTGAATTAAACGTTTATGAATTTATTTAAGTTTAAATTAAAATTATTTAATTATTTATTTTATTGGAGGGATTCAGTGTATGAAAATAAAATTCGATTTTCCAGTTTTTAAAAAATACTCGAATTGCTAAATAGAATCCGAAATTCTAGGAATGCCTATATGAATTCACTTTCGATTTTCTAACTAGAAAATCGAATTTCTTATTTCTTTCCTCTTGAAAACGGTATTTTCGCGCATTTAAAAATTCCTTTCAGAATTCATATAGTCATTCCTTGAATATCCTTGTTCTTTCTCCATAGCTTATTTTCTATCTAACAGTGTGGCAATGGTTGGAGATTTGAGACCAGACATTATAGGTCTTAATGGTGTTCCTGGTTTATGTGCTTTTGGTAAGAAATAAAGGTGGGCTAATTCAGCCTCTTCTTGATTAACCTTTAATTTCTCATATTGTTTTTGTGTAATATGTTTATTATACCATAAACCATAAAGGAACTTATTTGTACGTTCAACTAAAGATTCAAGTGGGTTTATTGCACCCAAATCTTGATAAGCTTCAGTCTTAATCATATATGTTTGAGCCTTCACTTTATAGTCATCCAGCTTTCCTAAATGAAAAACTTTAGACTTATCTGTCTTTCTGATGACTGTTTGTGTGGCCTCAAATTTATTTCTTAAATTATTGATTTCTTTTAATTGAACAGATGACGGATGTCTTCCATGACCATCAGTTAAGATCTTTTCGAGCGAGTCTATAAAGATCTGTATTCGTTGTTTAGGTAGTATCCATCCATATTCAATGAATATTTTATCAATCTTTTTCATAACCAACTCTATCTCAGTTCTCATACGTTTATGAGCGAGATGAGGGTTATTAGGAATATATTTCGGGCCTAATTTTAGGAGG